TTGGGTAGGAACATGATGATGTGAACTTGTCCCAGGTCATTTATGATCTCAACGTCATCCCAGTACATTTGCCAGTGCCCTCTCGCTCTCAGCCACCAGCGACACTTCTCAACTTTCCATGAAAAAGTGAGAGGGTCATTGCGCACCGGCCGGAGAGAGGGGGAGGCCAGGAGGCCTGACCACAGAAGGGACTAGAGGCCCTGCGCGGCCTGATGACCACACGCGCAGCAGCAGCCCAGGGGAGGCGGAGGCTAGGACGAAGTCAGCCCAGAGAGAGACCTACGGGACTCCAGTATTCAGTCAGCAGAGGGGAGAGGCAGCGTGCAGGGAGACGGTGTGGAGAGGGGTGGCCATCTGGGAAAAGACCAGCAACCCATGCATAATGCCCTCTGTGCCAGTCGGTATCCCAAAGGGGTCACAACTGTAGATATAAACTGTAGGCACTAAAATAATCAAGTGGCCTTACTGTGGGGTGCAGTGTGGCCCAGTGATCCCAGCAACTTGGGAGGCTGAGGGGGAGGAAGGTTCAAGGTAGCCTCAGCAGCTTGGCCAGAGAAACTCTGGTCTCAAAATCCAAAACAAAACTTGCTCTATGACCTCAGAGTCCCTGCCAGGGTCCGAAGTCTGCAGAAGAAAATACAGATGTTTTCATAAATTAACAGGCCAAACCAAAGCCCAGCCTCCGGGTGCAGGAGACCCACTCCTGACCGAGGTGCTGTGCCGAGCAACCCCTGGCCTGCGGGGAGAGGACGGTGCCGTGGAGACACCTGCGGAGAGCCTCAGGCAGGGGCCAGGGTGGGGTCAGCAGCCACGGGTCTCCCTCCGTACAAAGCCTCTCTCCCTGGTGCTGTCCCCTGAGCCCATCACCCCATGACAAATCCCCACGGGGACTTCCTGCAAAACGCCTGCCGACTCCTCAAAACCACACAGCTGGCTAAAAACAAGGAAATCTGAGAAACTGTCCCAGCCTGGAGGTGGGGGGGGGATGACCCAGTGCCCCCTGGGATCCTGGGACAGAAGACAAACGTTGACTAGAAGTTGGGGCAGGCGGGGTGTGGCCCAGCGGCCGAGCGCTGGCCCAGGCTCCATCCCCAGCACTGAGCGAAAAAGAAAAGAAAACAGGCGGTCAAGGAGCCAGGGCCACTGCCGTGGGTGGCCTGGACAGGTGAGGGCGACGGCTCTCTGATTCCTCTCACAACCGCCTGGGCCTCTGAAGAGTCTGGAACTTACAAATAAGCCAGCCCCAAAGTCAAGTCAAAGGATGGAAGTACGACCCTGGAACATGTCGCGCGTCCTGTGGCGACAGATGCACATTCACTCAGTGGCATGTATTGAGCGCCTGCTGTGTGTCAGGCGCTGCTGGTCACTGTTTGGTCCCACGGCCGGGCAGCTGCAAGGGCCTCGCTTGCACCAAAGCCTCAGGCACTGGCTGCCCACCTTGCCATGGCCCGTCCTGCCCACCACCAGGAGGACAGGAAGGCTGCGGCAGGCTGGGCTCTTGGCTGCTGCCCGCCACCACAGAGGAACACAGCAGGCTGCCCCTCAAGTCCCCTCGGGCAGGTCAGGCTGAGTCCCGTCGTATTGAGACGCGTGCAGATGAGCAGAGTGTCCGCACGTGAGCAGGAGACGGAGAACACGCAGGGACAGTTCGCCACTTGCTGGAGGGGACGCAGAGCTGAGACAGGGCCCGGGAAGGCGCTTGGCGAGCTGGTCAGGTGCTGGCTGGAGTGTCCAGTGCCGCTGGGGCCAAGGGTGTTCGGCGTATTGATAACAAACACACAGGACGGACGGGCCACGGCGGAGCCTGGTGTGGGTGCTCGGAGCTGGCCATGCGGTCCGCGCCCGCCGCTGCCCCCACAGAGCCCCTCTAGACCCACCTGGTGGTCTCGGGAGTCCCGTTCCCTGGAGGTTCCTGGGAGCTCTCCTGGCATCCGGAGCGCGGCTGTGGAGGAGGAGCCTGGGGTCGGGGTCGGAAGCGGAGGCCATGTTAACCGTCCACCCTTTCCTTCCCACAGAAAGTCGCCTTCATGGTAGCCCTGGGCCTGGTCACCACGGAGCACCTGGAAGGTAAGGGGCAGCAGGCAGGGACTGGCCACAAGGCGGAGCGCGGGGTGGGCGTCCTAGGAAGCAGCCGGTTTGGGATGCGCCTCCCTCTAGGGAAGGCCTTTGTCCCAAGGCCGGCCTTTGTCCCCAGAGACGAGCCGGAGGAGAGATGCACTC